AACCCCTAGGCCAGATGACGAGGGCCAGGAGGAGGGAGCCGAAGCCCCGAACGCGAAGGGTATAAAGGGAAACCACCCCGAAGGCGGCGACCGAGAAGTGAGGAGAGGAGGTGTGTGGCAGGCGTGCCAGCGACTGTGTGTCCTCCGGGACGTTCGACGATTGAGGCAGTAAGGTGCCAGCTTGAGAGGAGGTGGTAGTAGGGTACCAGCCGATCCGACCGTGGAGAGGAGCCTTAAGCGAAGCAAGTGTTTTCCCGCGTCTCTCATGTAGTCCCTTGTTCTGGGAGAGATAGCGTCACTGTAGTGGAAGGGATCCCACCACTTGCCAGCCAAATAGGCCCCAAAGAGTAGAGGAGGGGTAGACCCAATTCCGTGAACGACAACTATCGGTAACCGCGTTCGTGTCCGACTAGGCAGCCTCTTACGGGGGCAAGAGAATGGAGAGATCGACCGTAACCTGTAAGCTGTTCTCTCCTACTGCAACTGTAGTCCCGGCCGTCTGTTGAAGGTGGAAAAGGGGTTGCCGACCGTGCCAACGCCTAAGCGAGGCGGGGTAGGAAGAGGGGAAACATCACGAAGATGGGAGGCCTCAACCAAGGATAAAACCGAGGGAATCAAGAAATAAATCAGGACCCCAAGGGAGAGGGGAAGCGAGCCCACCTCCTGTAGCCGAGGCTAGATGGAGGGAGATGGGGGGGGGTGGTGGTGCTGGACGATGAAAGCCACGATAGAAATCATGGTGTTGAGTTTTCAATCGCCGGAGGTGTAGCGGAGACGGAGGATGTTCTGAAAGCTAAGGAGGCACCTCGATATTTATATTCTGTGTCTGGGTGGTCGAGGGCTACATCTATCTATTACCAAACAATGTACCCTTCCTATTCCATAGCCCTTACTATTGTAACAGGGATCCCTTTGACCCTGAAAAACTTCACATCTGGCTCACACTACGGTCTCCGTGCATTGTCGTATTTCCACGAAGGCATTTGAAACCTCTCTGGTGCAAACACATGATTCCTTTGTCTTGGAGGTTTTAGTATGAGTGAGTGGTCTCAACTCGAGCCAACTCACCATCATCCTTATTCTGCCTGGAGTGATCAGCTCCGTCGAGAAACTTATCAATGTGTCGTTGACTTTCCAACTTGACTACCTTGACTTTCGAGTACTTTCTACCACGATCGGACTAGTCAACATCATAGGAAAGTCCCTCAACTATAGACTGGCCTCCAGTTGGCTCTATACTGTGTGAGCGCTTGACTGGGCCCCATGACTCGTCCATATAGGCAGGTCCCAATCGGACTAGTTATCTTCAAAGCTTCCTAGCTCCTAAACCAACCAACCAATTAGGTCATAATAACTCTTATCTTAAAGAGTCCAACTTCCTCTGTGTAACACAGCAGAAATCCCTTAGTCACGTCACCTCAATCTCCGTGGAGAGTTGTTTGAAGTTGAACCAAGTTTTGTTAGATAATATTGTATCATTATAATAACTCTGGCAGGTACCGGAGTTGAACACGTAACCTTAAAAGTTTAATCACGTGATAATCCGATTGCACTAGGAGGTCTGTGTGTTCACATATGTAACAAAAAGATGGAACCATCGAACAACAAAAAGATGGAACCATTGAATACCAAAAAGTATGATATTGTGTGAAAGGATTCAATCAGGCACCAGAGGCAGACTATGAAGAACTTTATGCCCCAGTAGCTTAGTTAGAATCTCTATGCCAGTGACTACTCTTAAGTATAGCAGTCAAACGCTGATACAAACTTCATTAACTCGACATCAAAAGAGCATTTCTATACAGTGATCTAGATGTTGAAACTTACCTTAAACTTCCAGAAGGATACCGGAAATCAGGAAAGGTATGGATGCTTAAGAAAACAATCGATGATCCTAAACAGTCACCTCACTTACAGTATAAATGACTCATTAAAATCCTTGAAACAATTGACCTAAAAGTTACTGACTTCGACCCATGCATACTTGTCTCAAAGTATCTCTTCTGTTATGTATATGTTGATGACATACTCATTGCCGGAAAACCCTCACTTGTCAAACAATGTGTTGACAAGCTACAATCCCATTTCCAGTGTACAGACTCAGGAAAGGCATCGTTATTACTCAGAATACAAATCAAAACAACAAGCAATTCAATTCAACTTTGCCAGGAATGATATATTACCAAAATCCTAGAACGTTGCGATATGACCGAAGCTAAACTGATAGCTACTCTAATTGAAGTCCATTCAACACTGACGAAAGCCAAAGAGGATGATGAACTTTACGACCAACAATAATATCAATCCATAATAGGATCACTGATGTATGCTGCAGTCACTACTCAACCAGACATTGTACATGCTGTTGCATTTCTAAGTCAGTTCTCATCAAAACCAACAACAACTCACCTCTCTGCTACTAAGTGAGCTCTTCGATACCTCAAAGGAACCAAGACCAAAGGACTACAATACTATGGAAACATGAACAAACAACTGCTAAAATTATTTAGTGATACCTCATTTGCCTCCAACCTCAATAACAGAAAATCGTTTACCAGTCTTACAGTACAGATATATGGCAATACAGTAATCTGGCGATCGAAGAAACAGAAAATCATTTCTACCTGTAACCGGAGCTGGTGCTCGGTTAGTTTGTTTTATGTTTTGTTTTAAGTATCGGTTGATACTTAGTTTGTTTTATGTTTTGTTTTAAGTATCGGTTGATACTTAGTTTGTTTTATGTTTTGTTTTAAGTATCGGTTGATACTTAGTTTGTTTTATGTTTTGTTTTAAGTATCGGTTGATACTTGGTTATTGTTACGCTTTGATTGAGTAAGAACATGAGTGAGAATTCATGATCGTACTCAAACACATGTACTTAAAAAGACCGCCGTCTTCCACTCTGGAAACGGCAGACTTCGACAGACAGTATTTTAATATACTCGGTTGAACGGTTATCTTTATTCTCTCAAGTACACCGCCGAAGCCTCCCTTAGCGAGCCTAGAAGTTGACAGTCTCCGGTAGGCGTCACTTCCCTCCTATTGTACCCGACAGCGTGATTAGCGCCCCGGCGTGAACACGTTACACTACCTCCACCACGGAAGCTGAATATGTCGCTCTTGCTTTTGCCATCTGTCAAAGTGTATGGATAATATGTGGATTATCACATATGGGAATCGATATAGTACCAACCATATACAGTAATAACACTATAGCCATAAAGCTAACGGAGGATTCTGGCGTTTCTGACTGTACGAAACATATCGATGTTCAGCATCATTATACGAGAGAATTACAGGAAGAGGGGAAGATAAGGATTGTTGCAGTTGGAACAGAAGATAATCTGGTGGATATATGCACTAATGGATTGTCAAGGATGTTATTTGAGGAGTTTTTGAAGAGGCTAGGAATGGAATTGTAGGGAAAGTGTTGAAATATATGGTATCCTATTCCTATCCAGTAATGTGGCTGTGTTGATCATGTGACACAGTCATATGACCAATGAATGTACTAGTAGATTCTAGCAGGTTCTAGTTATTTCCTTGGTATGGAGCAGTACTAGTGTAATGATAGAAGGGTATATAAAGGGGTGTAGATTTCCTTCCTGTTAATAGAGTACGCAAGCTTGGATTTATCTTACTAGTCTTAAGGATATTTATCTTATCAAGTCTACTATACTTATCACAAGTACAAGTGACTTAGAGTAAAAATTGAACCATTATCCTCTCTTTCACGCAATCAACTCTCTGGCATATACGTCCCATATTCAAAATCTCGCTTCGATTGAATGTGCTATTCAAAAGATATGGTGATGAAAAGTAGGAGTGTAGGCAGTCTACTACATGGGTAGTCACCCGGTGATGGGTAGTTACACAGTGAAATACGTTACCACAAGGGGCATCTGAAAAAGAGGCTGCCACGTCGATAGTTGACGTTTACAGATCTGGTGGATTATTGGTGACGCTTTTGGAATTTCCTTGGGACCTTTTCCTTTATACGTAGAGAAGTAGGGTATAAGTTGAGTGTGCGGCGAGGCCATTTTCGAGAATATTTCAAGCACTGTCGGGGAGGGGCGGGTAGAAATTAGGTTGGGAATTCCGTATTTAGTAAGTTAAAGTAAAATCCGCAACGATCGCCCTCACTTTTTGCTCACCTTAGCCTGCTCAGCCAAACCCATCTGCCCGGCCGCCTTATAGTACTGCCCGTTTCTACCAGAGCTACCAGGAGTAGCTAGACCGTTGCGTTTGACCATGGGGATTCGGGGAGTGCCGCAACTTTATTCCCACTGCATATCCCTTGTCATAACGGGAGTGTGTGGAAGAATGGGGACATGAATGGAGGTAAGGAGATAGACGTGGTTTCGGCAAGTTTGGAGAATAAGATAGGATAATAGAATTTATGGCCATAACCTTTCTTGCGCTCTCCCTATGCGCGAAGTTATTCCGCCCACTTGAGAGGTTTGTTCTGGTTGAGCGGTGCGGTTCTGAAGTTGAATTATGGATCTTGACCTCTCATTTATCTCGAGCGGGTATTTTGGTTATTTTCATACCGCCGGTTGTTGAAAATATGGCGATCCATCGTGCCTGTTCACCTGGAACGAGGCACAGGAATTTAACTGCCGGTACTAAGTTAGTTCTTTCCTTTGGTTACCCGGTCTATAGCTCTGTGGTTTACAGTAGATTTGTCATGAAAAGGAAAAAAAGGGGGCGTCGTGATACTAGTAATGGTAAGCCGCCGAGCCGCTGGGCGTACTGTCTGGTGTGCCTCCACAGGTAACATTATTGGTTGCAAACAGCTTGGTGGGGGGGGGACATCTTGGCACTGTTGGCCTGGGGCTTTTCATCCTCTTCTTGTTGCACCCCCATTGTGACGCGAGGAGACGAGCTGAGGGCTCAGCTATCATTATGTAAGCCCGCGCAAGACACCCATTAACTCGCCGTTTGACGCTTGCCGCTAAAGTGCTAGGAGAACACAAAAGAGTGACGATTGAGCGGACATAATGGCAGAAAACGAAGTGTTTGTCCCCTCATCGTTGATATGCTACTGCTTCTAATATGCTATAATGCTCTTGATGATCTAGCAAGGATTTACCTCTCCGGTCCTGTGGGAGGGTAGCGGCTTTCTCATCGGCGATATTTCAGATAAATGTAGAGAAGGGTGCAAGAACCTTTTACGTCCACGGAGACATCCTCTCCCGGAGTTCTCGGTCGTTCAAAAGCATAGTGGAGGGGGACTGGAAGGAATCGACAAACCGCCGAATCGACCTGGAAGACTGGGATGCAGATACGGTTGGTCGTACGATCGACTATCTCTATACCGGGGATTACACTTGGGAAAAGGATGGGAATTTTACGCCGATACCTATTGAGGTTCCGGAGGAATTTCCCACCGTTGATCACTCTTTTCGTGCAGCACGACCTTTGACCCCCCTTAGCGGGCTTGCTAAATACAGGAGCACTTCGTATTTGTCTTATAGTGACTCGACGGTATTTCTCGCCTATGAAGGAGCTAGATTCGGGGAATTACTCTTGATGCATGCGAAGGTTTATGCCCTCGCGAGTTGTTGGGCAATTGGAAAGTTATCGGAACTGGCGCTTGACCGTCTGTTGTGCACTCTACGAGCATTTCAAGCCACTGAATATGATCTCCAGCAAATTCGATATATTGTGGAACTGGTATCATACGTCTATGAAAATACATGCTTGCGCGTCGGGGAACACGAGCCAATGCGCCGGGTGGTAACGAGGTTCACAGCGTTAGAACTTACAAAGTTGAACGCTCAAGGAGAAATCTCTAAATTGATGGACGCTTATGGAGACTTTGCTTGTGACCTATTGTCCGACGTAACAAGGAGCCTAAAGCTTGCTGAAGTTAGTGGTGGGCTACAGCACAAGTACTTGGCTGGCATCGAGGTTAGTCAATCTGGTTACGCCGAAGGGGATATTTCCCCCCCTGCCGCATCCTTAGTATTGGAGCTAATACTAGTGAACGAAAGATACACACGGGGGGGGCACAGCCATCAAATTGCGTGCAAGAGGGTCAGTGGGGAAGCCCGAACATCAATTTCGGGACGGAAGCTGAGTGAGAGCGCACCAGGATCATCCCGTGCTGGCACTGGTCCAATTGCTAACGCTCGGGAGCTACCGATAGGCCAGTGTGGCTAGTACCCTATTATACGGAAGATATCGATAAAGCTTGCACCTCATTTAAGGTCGTCGCATATGAACAAGAGGGATACGACCCCCGCTTCAAAATCCCCACGAATCTCCAATGCCCCGAGTATCCTTGCTTGATATCTGTTTGCGATAGAAATATCCCGAGGAAGGTTTCTTTTGTCCAGTTGTTGCGGGTGGCCAAAGCCGGGCAGAGACATGCCATGAGGAAACAATGCGATTATATAAGTTTTACGGATGATATTATTGGTTCTGCACATATTGGATATCTTTACCTGCTGTGGGGGGCATAACCTGGTGTTGCTGTTTTCTCGTTATGCGTGGCGGCTGCTGGGGTCGGAGAAGGGAGCTGGCGTCTGGACATTAGCTTCGCGGGATGTGTTGTGGACGGGGGAAATTTGTCGCTGGATTGTCGTTGTGGGTTGGGTGGCATTCCCTAATGGTTGTGATGGGGGGTGCCCGGTGCTTAATTTATGTGTTGTGTTCTCGAATTGCTTTCTACGATGCCATTGCTTTGACACATTGAATATATTAATCTCTTGGTTTCTCAACAGCAACTTGTAGCGTAAGGTATCATCTATGCTATCATGGAATACCATGCCCCGGGGGGTCGTGATACAGGAATGTCGGAGAGACTCAAGGGGTGGTACACGGTGCGTATGCACACGCGAAAAGCAGATTATCTAAACTCCCCCTACGCCCCTGGCCGACTCTTACGACACGAGCTACGTTTTACAAAGAAGAAGAAATACAGCGCATAAACTGTCAACCCGTCGTACTGGAAATTACCTACACTGACGAGCCAGGTAACACGAATAAACCCCTTTTTGCGAATACAATGCGGTGATGGGAATTAGTAATTCAATACCTTAAGAGCTCCAACACCACCCTGGAATGCGCAATGAATCTAATACCACCCCAGGAGAACTGAAATACGTGTTTGGATCACCTAAATTCTACTAGCAATATTCCGACATTCTAACACCGGGTGTGGAGAGTATCATGATGTCTGGATATATTTTCTTCAATTTATGCGAATAGAGGTAGATCGCGGTAAAGGTTGTGACAGACTTAAGGCCCGACGGGAAACCCTCTTGGAATAAAAGAGTGCCCGAGATAGAGCCACTGGGATTTACCATGACGGCATTGAGATAGTATTATAACCGCATTCGAAACGGCGGGGTGGAGTTGAAATATATCGGACTGGGACAAGTGCTCTGGTATATTTAGATTTTTGAAAGACGAGTTGATCGCTGCTGAATGTGATAAGGAACCTTTCTTGTGCTGTTATATATCGCAATTAGATTACTATAGTATCACGCTAACGTCCCCACCCGCCTTCCCCCTCTTAGCGTCGGTATAGCCTCCGTACACACTTCCAAGTGCAACGCCTAACGAGTAACAGAAGCCCTTCACTCTTCGGGCAAATCCTTATTTGCAGGCTTCAGAGTGAGCAGGCGTTTTTTTATGTTTTTCCTAAGTTAGTGGGGGCTATCTGCGGAGTTCACTGTACCTCTATTTCTCCTTTCGCCTTAGATATTGGGTAATGAGACCGCCTGGATACACTACGGCTTGTGGTACCATTGGCGCGCGGGGGAGCTACATATGATACTGTTGATTCCCTCAGGTGCGGGAGGTCAGCCGAGTGATATATTGTGAATTTAAGCTTGGGGATTAAGTATGATACTTTTTAGAGAAATATAGGCACAATATGTACCCCGGGAAGTCTCATTTCTCTCGTGCATGTTATGGCACACTCATAGGATTATGTCTATAGTGGAAAATTGTAGTAGGGGATGGACCACTATAGCCTTCCACACTTCCCACCTAAGAGAAAAATGTGAACATCCAATTGCTCACCCAGAGCGGACGCTTCACATGCTTCGGCAGCTGCATCCTTCTTCCATGCATACACCCCCGTGGTGGTGCCACTGCTTCCAGGAGTCTAGAACCTAGCCCGGGAAGTCAACACAACACAATTGTTATGCTATGGTCCCCGGTGAAATACTCTACCTACATTTCCGGTAAATATATTCCAGCATTTGAACATAAAGATGTTTCCGACGTCAGAAAGTCACTGTTCGCGCTAGTGCGTTGAGCGAGTAGCTTACGAGGCACCCTAGGAAATAGAATAGAGAAAAGGTGTGTATGATAGAGACCGGATTCAGAAACCAGATATTACCTCTAGCGTTTTCCCAATGCGGGGGAATTACTCTCTGGCGATAGGTGAGAACAATCCTCATGTAGTTATGATGCTTTGCTGTTTCGTATGGACGCGGGGGTCCTTACGCCACCAGAGAAAATCGTCACTACCGACACATCCGGGGCTACGAGGCCTGCGGTAATGAAGGATTTAGGAGGGATATTTTGATAGCGTTCGTGGGGCAGCTTAAAAGGTGCCTTCCCTTTCCCCCTCCTCCAATAATACCGACTATCAGCGTGATTAGCAGTCTGTATCCCTTTCCTCTTGGCGGAAATTTGCCATCCAAAATTGTTCCCGCACGGGGATGCTGAGAGACGTAGTAGTTTCCGTTAAAGATACCCGATTCGAGGGGACGGAGGAGAGCTACATTAACGTCTCCATCTGTAGCCACCGAATGATCGGGCGTGTGGAGAGCACAGTAAATATTTTTGGAATCCCGATTTGCCCGCTGATATCTTATTGTGTTTATATCCGTGATGGAAACGCCGGGATAGGCGTAGGAGGAGGCCCATAGCTGAAGGGGAAGGGGGCCGCCTTTTTTCCAATATTCGGGAGCTGGTGGCTTGTTTATTCCGGTGCGGGAGGGGTGGTGCTTTTGGAAAACTTATGCATGGGTTATTCCTTTCTGGTGTGTACCACATTGTGGACCCCTGAGTTGGGTTTGTGTGTTTCCCCCCCCCCCACTGCGGGTTGATTGCATTCCGGTAGATCTACATGGTGACACGGCGGTACGTCAATGGTTGTGATAGCTTGGAGTTACTTTTGGGGATTTACTGTTGGTGTGATATTGTCATAGTGCGCGAACTTCAAATCCCCATAGACGGTTATATTCTGCTGAGATTTATGTAGTATTATTCTCACGAAATCTATGATTAACGCGAACGGTTCGCTAAAGCCTATCACCCTACCCTTTCCCCTTCACCTCTCTACAAACCCCTCTCCCTAACTACAGGGTTTACACTCCCCCGGCATCCTCATCTCCACCGGCTTCAGAGCTCTGACCGCAGAGCACCACTTCCCCAACCTTTCAGTCGTGACATTCCCTGCCCATATACAGGCCCCGACATACTCCTTAAACCCCTCAAACCCACCCTCAGCTAACCTCGCTGTCATAGAAGCCTGGCACCTATTCTTCAGATACCACGGCGCAGCGGCATAAGTATACTTCTCCGGTAAGACCAGTTCACGGATGGCCATCTGATCCGCGGCGGAGGTTCTATTCATGTTGCCGAAAGTCACGTTTCGGTCCACCCCACCGCTAATCCTCAGGACCTCTGCTGTTAGGGCTGGTTGCGAGAATGCATAGTAGTAGATGTGTGGGAACATTAACATTGCTTTGGCTGTTGCTAGTTAGCTGTGATTCCAACGAGAAGAAGGGGGGGGGGGGTATCACACTTCCTTGGCCGGGCCGCCCGGGGAATTTGTTGACGTTGTAGATGAAGTCTTCACTCTCTACTGTCATTGCTCCTAGTAGAGCCGCTTTCTGTCCGAGTGATGTAAGGCCGTAGTGTGCGAATGCAGTGTTGATTTCCTTGACAGCTTCCGGCGCCGGATGGCATTCTTTTGTTACTGTTGTGCAGATCCCGGGTGCCGCTGCGAGGAGCTGTTGTGTCGACATCTCGGGAATAGTCCTGTTTGAGTTGAAAGAGCAGGGGGCTAGCACCGCGAGGGTGGATGAGAGGGCGGTGATGGCTAGGAGGAGGAGGGCGTTTGGTAGCATTTTCCTGCTTTCCCCAAGGGCCAAGGCGTTTAATGTTTTGAGGGGCTGTTCTGGGGTACGTGAGTGATATTAGGTGGTTTGTTGGTGTGCTGTATGAAGCAGAGAAGGAATGGTATAAATGAACGAACGGAGCCGCTTTTAAGAAGGAAAGAAGAAGAGAGGAATTAAAGGTATCGTGGTGCGATCTAGCCTCAGCACTTTACTATCGTGTGAATGTACAGTACTATTTCCGGAATAGAATAAAGTAGGATAAACGGGGACCAGCTTGAACTGAATACAACTAGTACACTACTTGCGGATGGAGGATCCTTCAACCTTTACACATGCCCCGCGATAGCCATGGGAGTCACCGTAGTGTACCATATAATAGTTAGCTCCCAATCCCCTGTTGCTTCGAATCAAAAATTACTAGACTAGGCAAGTGATTCACTACCTCATATGCTTCCACGTATTCCACTTAGACAAAAGTCACCAAATGCTGAGACGGGATAGTGGGGATTTACCTCAGGTCCTCCTTCGAGGTATGCGATTGCATTCGCTTCTTAATTTGCTCGCTTGTCATTCGTTTGTTGCGGTACAATAATAAGTAGCACTAGACAACGTTCCTCTTCTCTAGGATCGGAAAGTGAGTGTGTATTTCCACAGTGGCTCCTCTCTCTTACTACAGGCGGTGACAGCCCAAGATCACGCTGAGTCATACTTTTCAATCTCTATCCCAAATTTTCTTTGACAGAGAATAGATCCCTAGGGTATGGTATAAAGCGCCCAAAAGGCGTATCATACCGGGGAGGTGAATTTTTGCAATGCTTGTGCTCACATATGACGAAGGTTTTTAAATTCAAATAATGTATCCTCTTTCCCAGTCGCTCGATCCAATAGGATTCCTGGGAGTTTTTCAAATAATAGCTAGTATTCCTAGGCAACCTTTGGTCCCTATCTTCAAACCCTTTCCAATTTAGCTGTTCCTATGGAGAACCATCACGATCCTGTTTCGGGAACTAGCACAACAAAAAGAGACTTCCACTTGCAACATAGAAGAGAGGCGATGGAGGACAAGACTTAAAGAGCATAAAGCCCATGAGGAAGTGAGTTCCAATTCAGAGTAAAACAATGATCAGATTTTGCGAATTTCATATATCATAGCTCTAAAATTTCAAAGTAAAGCGCGTGCCCTTCAAAGCATATAAGAAGCTGAAAAGAAAAAAAAAGGTGTTACATGTGGCTGTGCAAAATTAGCTGCCAAGACCTGAGCCCCAGAACAACATCATAAGAAAACTCGGTCTCTGCGCAACCAAGTTTTAATTATTATTATGATAATATTATGGTACAGTGCATAACATAGGGACCCTTTGGCAGACCGCCTGTTGAGACGACCGTGGCACACGGTTTTTCCCGCCAAGATGTGTTACTGCAATATGTTTAAAGGTGTTAAAGAATGTTAAACATGATATTAAGCAAGATTCTGGGCAGGATAACCGTTACAACATAGATGTAAAAAACAGGGTCGTTTCAACACACGGGCTGCCAAGCGCCCGCTTAGCACTTGAAAGATATATCCTATCAGTATACGGTATCCCGTTGAATTTCAGGCATTATGAAAATGTGCCCCCCCGGTACACCTTTTAGGCGTTTCGCGCCATATCCGACCAGTTACGCTGAGCCACCAAGTCCTACAGTAGCCAACTCTTGCCTCCCTACCATTACTCGAAGGTCAGGTTAGTGCGGAGCACTGGTTAATAACCCTATGGTGTGCGTTTCTGGGATTAAATACCAAGGCACTGTCGATCATGCCGGGATGTTTACAAGTATGGTAGCGGGAACGGTTGTTAACACGCCGCCCCTAGCCTCGGGCACATTTACCCAGATCGTACTTGTATAGTACACAGAGAGTTTAGTCATCCGGAACCATATATCATATCATAATATCATGTTTTTGGATCGCATGAACAATAAGTCCTTTGAAAACGTTTGGCCTCCCAGTTCTGATCGCTACTGTTGTGTAAGAGCGGTGAACGAGAGAGGGCGTGAAACCCTTTAACACCCCCCAGGTAAGAAGGGGAAGAGCGAGGTATGATAAGCAAAGTAGAGGAAGAAGGGGTTGACTAATCCCCCACGCCCCCCGATACATACTTTCACACCCTTCCCCTCCCCCCTTCACTGCAGCATGGCACCTTATCTAACAATACCTTATCCGCCACTTCGTCCAAATTTAATTTAACAAGCAATCATCCCACATCATCCATAAGCACGGTATTGTACAGTACATCCGTCCTTGGATCTCCCAAAACCTGCACCGGGAGCGGCACTTCCAAACTGCTGAGGCGCAGGCGGAATCCACCAAAAGAGCTATACATCCCGGGCGCACTACTCGAGATCCTGTAGGGTAGAGATAGTATCGCCGACTTCTGGACCTAGTTTGTGTATCTTTAAGAACAGGTATGGATTTTAACATCCTCTCCCCATATCAGTATCCTGGGAAAGCGTGAGACCAATCAGAGTTGGGTGTTGGTTGGCGTTGTACTATGCGTATAGTACCCACAGCGCAGGAGTGTGGTCGCCGTGGTCACCTAAGTTACTGTGGTCATACAAGAGAGAGAGCAGGAATATGCAAAGGGGTTGGAGATCACCATTCACGGGACTTCGTATTGGCCACCCTGCTGAAGCAAACTCCACATAGAGAGAAAATGACCACCTTTATTGCTGAGCATTGCGGAAAACATAGACCAAAGGAGAGAAAGTCAACACCACGATAACGACCTCTCCTCACTGCAGGAGTTCCAGTGAAAAATCCATAAGCTTTTAATAAAACAAAGGAAATTAGATGTGGAGTATGTTCTCCATGATTCACTTTAACACAAAACAGGGATTCACTGACGCCCTCGCAACCAGTTGAGCATCAAGACACTCGTCGGCTGGTAGCGAGGTAATGATATCAATTCATTGCCCCAAGTCCTTGCGGTGACACGTGCCGCCGGTCACTAAAGCAAACCCCAATGGAAGAAGAATCGGAAGGAAAGTGAGAGGAGGAGGGAGATTTATCGAATGATAAGGGGGGATCCTGGAAGCGCCGGGCGTTCCAGCTCCGGGAATCGAGGGAAGAAAGCAGGGAACGGGGTATAACACAATGGAGTGCAAACATGCAACTTCAGTGCAGCATAACAGAATATTCATAACCTCATGCTCGGATATTGGTTCCTATAATCGTCGCACCTGGTGTCTAATCTCTGGTAGAGTACGACCTGTAGCCCCCGGTGAAGAGCCCCCAGGTGCAAAGTGAATGTTCTGCACTCCCTGCTGCACGCTCGGGGCCCCAACCTTCTTTCTTGGCTCCTTGACCGCCTTGGGGGTCGGCAAATCCGCCGCACGCTCCGGAACTGCGAACAACCTCAATCTTCTTTCCTCCGCGGACCGCACCACCGTCTCTGGGAGCAACAAGCCCCGCGGAACTGTGGACTGCCTCGGTCTCCCTGCCTCCACACGCCGCACCACCACCTCTGGGAGCAATTGTTCCGTCGCGGGCACCGGAACTGTGGACTGCCTCGGTCTCCTTGCCTCCACGGGCCGCACTACTGCCTCTGGGAGCAACTGGTCCGTCGCGGGCACCGGAACCGTGAGCTGCCTCGGTCTCATCAACTCCACGAGCGGCGCCACCGCCACCTCTCCAGCGGGCCCCCTCCAATGCGGACATGTCTTCCCGTGCCCTTCATTCCCTACGGCTCTAATGATCACATAATTCGCCCGACATTCCCAACACCACTCACAATTACACCTACACTTCAAATGATCGCATCCATTCGCCTTTTCAACCATTACCCCACATCCGGGACATGACTTCGCCAACTTTCCCAAAAGCTTCTCGTTCTCCCCGTGTTCACTCTTCACCTCCGCGCATGTTCGCGATGGGTGCCAAGGGATGCGGCATGTGAAGCACGACTTTGCAGAGCACATCAGACAAGTTACTATTGGCTGCTTGTCCCTGCTCGAGTGGAGTTGGCCGCCAGGGCAGGAGGGTTTTTGGCAGGGTCGGTATTCCGGTATCGAGTGGAGGTACCTTTGTAGGAGGCTATCAGAGTATGTGGGCGCGAGGGTAGGAAATGTCTCTTGGACGTAAGCGAGGGTGATCTCGTTGGGGCATTGGGGGCACTTCAGTGGTGGAGAGGCCATGGCGGTGGATTTGGAGGAGAGGGCGACCTCGATGTACGTTTGGAGACAGGGCTTGCAGATGTTGGACGGGTGAGAGCAAGATGGCGAGATCGCTGGGCTGGCGGAGGAGGTCTGCTTGCGTTCCATGCAGATCACGCAAGCGAAGTTGAGGGTGAGAGGGACCCGAGATGCCATTGCTATGTCTTGTGGGCGTAATTGCCGGGGGGGAACAGTACCCTTAGATTCCTAGACTTCAAGACACATTTTTCAAGCCGGGTGAGCCTGGGTCTATTAATACTGGGCGGGGTTATCTGTATCCACAGCCTCGTACGTGGCATACAGCAAAAAAAGAAAAAAGAAAAAAAAGAAAGAAACTTAGGCCGCCGATGGAGGACGAGATCGGGTTCAACAATACTAATTGGATGAGATGCAAGCTCCCTATCATATTAAAAATTAGGAACTGCAGTATCCGTTATAATATCAATGTTACCCTAGGGAATGAATCATCAAGAGCAGGCTGAGATATTGTTCCGTGGGTCCCGAAAGTGCACGCGAGTACGTCCCCCAAATGTCGCAAGAGACCTGACGTATGGAATGCACAAATGTGTGATGATGATTCCTCCAGGCACTCAATAGGCCCACTGCAAGCACGACCACTGTGATACCTATTCAGTTTCCCAACCCTGTATGATACCCCCACAAGAACTAACAAAACCAACCCTAGCCAACCAACATCCCCCTTTTAAGGGAATTGATCTGCTCCTTAATAATCCTCCCAAATAATCCCGACTCATCACCATTCCCATCTTCTCCATCTTCTCCACCTTCTCCATCGCCTCCACCTCCTCCATTTCCTCCATCCCCACCCCTCAGATCTGCCCCATGGCCACGATGATCAACAAAGTACTAATGAACGCATCTTTTTAAAGGTAGGCAAACGAAAATTCCGGCGTGCACTCGGCAATTATCCCGATGAACCCGTCGCCAAACTCAATCTTGTCATTTCCCCCAAGTTCCACCTCCTAGTAATGGCAATACATCTTCCCCTCTTCCACCACATTGGGCATGGGGAAGGAGCACTTCCTGTCGAACCCGCCCGGTCGGTTCACGATTCCCGGGTCGAGCGTTTCCAGGTGATTCGTCATTCCGAGGACCGGGATGCCGTCGTTCCCGGCTATTCCGTCCAACTAGTTGAGGAAGAAGGAGCGGTTCATTAGGTTGACCAGGCTGCCCAGGTCCTCGAGGATGAGTATTCAGGGTGCTAAGGCTCGGGCTTTATTAAATGCTACAGTCATGCCGTACTCGTTGCCCATGCAGGGCTTGAGTGATTTCACCTAGAGGGAGGGGTATGAAGTTGTTTTCATCAGTGCCTTTAATGGAGATTTTTTTCCTGTTTCCAGGGGTCCATGGAAGATGATGCCGTTTCCGTGGGACGTCGAGGTGTTTGTATATTTCTACTACTGAAGAAGTTTTCCACATCGGACCGCGAGCGACGTTTCATCGTTGTGTCCAGGAATGCGTCTTTCCAGTCCGTCTCTTGCGCGCTCCTCAATTGCACATGGTCCTTGCTCCAGCCACCGTCATTGAACAAGAGGATTTCCCGCTGTAGTTTCATAGCGTAGGAATATGCCTGCAGGACTATATCCTCGATGCCCCTCTTCTCCATTTCCGAATGGGGGAAGTAGTATGCCCAGGTGGTGTTGCACCTCTCCAGCCAGGTAGAAATGTAGTGGACATACTCCTTCCCATCACCGCAGAGCGTAAACGTTGCGAAATCAATGAAACTCCCGATGATCCCGGGCCCACTCGGGCGGCGGGAAGACGGCTGGGGGGTAAGCTTTGAAAGAATAGGGCCGAACTCGGTGGTCGAAGGGATTAGCAAGATCTTGCCAGTGCTAGAAGCGTAGCCAGATGCATCGCACCTATAGTCCCGACAGGCCGTGAGTTTCGGTGTGGGTGATGGGTTTTAATGGCGTGCGCAGGGCGAGGTTGGTGGAAACAGTTTGAGCCGAAAAGTGCTCTGCGTAGGAACAGGCGGAGGACTCGCACTTGCCGCGGCGATGTTTGTCTAAACTGGACTCTTCCACAAGGAGGTGGTCGTGCATGTGGGGGTCGGTCCATGGCGGGGGGCTGCCCGACGTAGTGGTGTGTAATATAAGGTGGACGGTGGGGAAGTGGATGGGAAGCAAGAGGAGGAGGGCTCGGCGGTGGTGTGCTGCTCACGGTAGAAGGGGAAGCGGTGCATTATGTCTGTTCGGCGCGATCTATATCATCACCGAGAGAGCACAAGTAAACTCACTTACCAACAATAATACCATATTATCATCTTGAATAAGAGTGGATTTTTTTTCAGGACCTCTGAATTCCCCTTCCAAGTAAGGAGCTGTTGTGTTTTGCTGGAATTTTCGACGTCCCCCTCAAAATAGGAGACTCAAAGGGCCTGAAACAATTCTCTCTCATTCAAGATGGTGCAGCGGTGGAAAGAGGAAGTGAGGATTTCTACTCTACCACCCGGTCGAGAATGTGCGGAAGGGAGAAAAAGGTGCTTGTGAGGTGAGGGGGGAGGAGAGTGTGTGGGGAGAGGAGAGTGTGTGGGGAGAAAGGGGTTGAATCGGCAGAAGCATTACATTATATCACGCGGAAGGCTGGCGATAAGTATGAGCACTTGCGGAGCTGGCGAGGCCTTATGGGTAGAGTTGTCGACGCGGGAACCCAAGAACTCGGGCCGCGCTTGCCCCAGGATTCCGCAACCAGGAGGAACCGCGGGTTGGTCCGGGTCACACGGCATGTGGCGAGAGGTGTCCGATCGGCGACCTCAAACCACTTCCCCATATTAATGGAGCCATGTCTACTTTTCATCATCCGGGCATTTTTCCCATATTTTTATTCATTTTTTTCGTCCCTCAGCCACAGCCCCAATGCTCAGGATTACCGTATTGATTCCCCCCGGGCATCCCCGCTTGGGGATAAGGTCTGCCTGCGCGGGTAAGCTTAGGTTTGCACGAAAAGTCTTGTTGCTCAGGATGCGGCAGCTTACCAGTTCGCTATGTAGTATGGAGGCTAACCGAGTCGGCTTGCTCATGCCACAAAGTACAGGCAAGGTCTTATCAACCCCAGCCCGCTATACCACACCCCGAGTATATTCCCGCCACCGCTGCCGATCGAGCGTTATAAATGATAGCACAGAATCCTATCTCCCAATGATCAAGAGCGTGCCCATTGCCCAAGCTGCTAAATAGCTATGTGGGGCTCAACATGTCGTGGCCACCAGAGTATGTTCGTGAGGGACCAACAACCTTTTCGCCACATTGTAAGCTCAGAGCGCTGCAGTGTGTTGTTCGCTATTACACTTGGATATCCGAGAAGGTGCAAACCTCCTCCACAAGATGGAAGGGTTCTGGGAAGCCGGGGTGTTGGCTCTATGTTTCATTGGTCTGGGGTAACTGCGGAGAACACTCTCCATACCATCTTCCCTTGTTTGGTGTTTAGAACATTATGGGGAAGCAGAGGCCCCTGTAGCGACCAGGAGATGGACTTAGGATGGATATGTTCCGATACAGCACTTCTGTCTTTTCTAAATATCTCTTTTTCCCGCCGTTGAACTAATGGATTCGCAACCAATCACGATTCACATTTCTGTCATTGGATCAAGCCATTTCATCTAGTTCATATTCGCCATCCCAACCCAGTTAACAAAGCCAATATGCACCGGCACTCCCACGACCAACTCTCCGCCAGCTTGCCTCAATACCTTCAAGATTTAAGATACAGAGTGGTCCTGGCAGAACCACCCCTCCCCTCCTTTATCAATTGTTTGACCGCTTTTAACGGTTCCGAGGTCAGCGCCCGAAAACCGGTACCGAACTCGTGTGTTGTATTCCTCTGTGATCATGATAGCATGATAGCTTCCTTTCTGAATAAGTTAGTACTTATAGGGACATGTTTGCCCCTCAGCGGAGACGCATCAGTGCTATCCCACACGCTCCTACTCGTACATGGTAGTCCCGGTTTACCCCACGATGCTCGAAATACCCATATTGATCGGGACGTCATAATAAGATCACAGCTATTCCAATAGCCAAAGTCCAGAATATGCTTCTTCTCCCTTATGTTTGTGCAAAACTTAGACAGCCCAGGTTTCCCCTCACTACTATATTCAAATCAACAATGCACTCTCGGCCACCCCCCTGCCCCCGAGCCAGGGCAACCCCAGTGATGCATAAATCGGCTTTAAGACAAGATATCAGTTCTACGATGATAAAATAGCAGGGTGCCGTACTGTATGGTGCAGTTCACTTAGTGTACAGCATTGGCCTTAAATTTCAGGAAGGCTACAAGCAGTCATTTCAGATTAGAAAAGGGCGGATTAACTGCTTTTTTAGCTATTTCAACACAAAAACTCTCCCCTTCTCACTTCCTTTAAACGGGGTTTCTCTTCAACAGGTGGGGGTTACCCCCCCAATAAGGTCTGAGAAACTCATCATAGAAGGCGAGTAAAAAGCATACTTTTTTTTTTTTTCATTTTATTTTTAGGCTAACAGATAAAAAACCAACATCACAAATATCACGACAAATCATTTCCCCCAGCAAGTATCAAAGAAAAAAGGAAATTCCACCTCAAATCAATCTCGAGCGGGCTCTGGATAGAGCTTGATAGAGCCATTGGGCAGGACTGCAAGCAAACTACTTCGGTGTCAGGTTTAGTACTCAGAGTGATTGGAGAACCACTTACATGCTCAGGCACGAACACAAGCTCTAATAGGCCCGGCACTGCAGAGGATACCCTCGAAGCACATCCAAGGGTTCGGACTGACCATACATCCGAAAATCTACCAATATCATAGTAAGCACCGACTAGGATCTCTCATCCTGGATAAACCAGCACATACCGCAAACCAGCAGCTTGCAGGGATTTTGTTCCCGAGGCAGGCGATAAACCTCTAATCAGACGTCAGTAAATCCACCCTTCCAAGATGGCTATTCGAGCAGAAAATTTCCCACAATTGCACGTCTCCCATGTTTTCTGATAAATTTCCAAATCCGGCAAGCTTTACTGCAAGGTCCCTGCGCGTCCGGGGAGTCCGCGTTTGCAGTTGCACCCGCTGCATCTAATGATGCACCGTTGACCTGAGCACCACTAGCATCGAAGGCGCTCATGACGAGATCGGGGGCAGCCGGGTCGTCGACGACAACGATCGTGCTCTCAAGCTTTCCTCCTTCATAGATTGAGAAGGTGTATTGCTTGCCGTCTGCACTCTGTTTGGTGCGCAAACCCGTGAAGCCGGCTTCAACTGCTGCGTCTGGGTCCTGCGGGAAGGCAGCCGCGCTAATGAGCGCTGCAAAAAGGAGGACGAGGAGGGTCTTGAGGAATTGCATTTTGGCGGGGTAGATTATTGGTGGGAGAGCTAGAGATAGCTTTGAAGGTTGTTTGAGAAGATTTGGGGATGGTTTTTTGTCTGTTGAGGAAGCTGCTGGCGGTGGTGCTCTTTGCGGTGAGATGAAGGGCCCTGGGGATGTGGGATTGTCGGGTTTATATAGACCATTCTTATTTCCTACAATGCAATTGACGAGCTCAGGATTGGAGCAGCCTTCCTTTGGAATACGAATCTCATCGGAGTCACCGAATGCTAGTTCATCCTCAACCTTCCCCCCCCCTCCCACAAGGACAATGCCTTCTCCTCATAACATTTGCAGACATTCACGAGCTTGTCTTAGGCCTGTATAACCAAAATTAGAATCGACCTCGTATTACCTCCCGCACGACAAATGGCTTGCCTCAATAGGGCCAAGATGGGAGAAGCATTGATACCACGGCATCAGTATCTGAGTCTACTATCCAAACAATTCCTAGTGAGGCCGACTGCTCATCTTCTCGTAATTCATAGGCTTCCCGCTTCCTAGTATATCTGTACACACCCGGGGCCCAGGAGACCACGGCAAGTTCTTCTCACAACTTCGATTCCACAACCTAATATCGTAGGGAAAGTGCACTTGGAAATTCACGATGAAGAATACCCTAGATCAAAGTCTAAATTTGACAACACCCTATCAAACAAATTAGAAAGAGTTTAATAGCTCTTCTGAAGCACACTGATTTAAAACTTCTAGCCACATCTACGAACTAGTCTACATCCACAGCAGAATGTAGTAGAGCCATCACCCCTCGGCGCTCGACTATAATTAGTGAACTAACTAACTAACTTGTAAGCACTAATTGTGTTATTAAACGACTAACTAAATCTTACTAGCGTACAAACCGCCAGTAGAGGTCAACGGCCGTTACGATATCTAAGACCTCTCGCTGGTCGCGACTGGCCAACCGTCCTTACCTGACGCAGAGACCACGGTTTTCAGCTTCGTGTCTTAGATATGGCCGATTCGTATACGGCCACCAGTACTGCGCTATGCACAACGGATATCAGACTAAGCCTTGTCCAGATAGCGAGTGACATAGCGGTAGTCCACCGTACCAGCACCCAAGATACAAAACACATCCATACACCCGGTTATTCTGCGACAAAACAGAGACCAGAGACATTAGTATAATACAGATATGGTGCCATCACAATTACAACCAAGCCCCACCCACCTCCCCAATCGGAGAAACCATTCCAGAACCCCGAAGCCGCCTCCCTCTCTTCCAATGTGTACTTAACCCGATCCCACTCTAAAATAATTTCTCCGAGCGATGTTCGAACTCCAACCGCATCAGCGGGATCCCCCCCCAAGTGTAGGCATGCAGCAAGCCTACGGAGCCAATCACGTCTGAGCCAAGATATGCAACAAAACCCGATGAATCCGAATGCGGCGGCAGGAGTATGATTGAATACTATCGCCACCGCCGGGTTAAGTAAGTAGCAGGCACCATGGTACAGTATCACACGCTCCCCCTTTGTCGTATCCGAATTGCTGTTATGCCGGGTGAGTACAGTTGGATTTTTGAACTTCTGCTTGGGGCGGGGGTGAGTATTGAGGAATCAACTGCTTGGATGAGCAGTGTGCTACGACATGTTATTTATATTAGAGGAGTGAATGCTCCTGGCGATAGTGAGAACGCGCAGGGCTGCGTGTGACTGGAGAGAAGGCCAGAGAAGACCGGAAGTCGCAGGCGTGAAGGTTGAGGGGTTTGAGGACCTGATTTGTACAAGTACCACCCTCGCACAACAGGAAACCTTTCAACGGGGTGTTCAAACCCTTAGAAACAACGACAATGTTTATTTGCGAAGGAAACATGGATGGCTATCTAATAGCCAGGGTGATGATCCACCGGATAAACCGATTCAAGTAAACTACTAGGCACGGTAAGCACTGCAATAGAGCGCAACACAAGCATAGTGCAGTATAATACAAGTATGAAAAATAACCAGAAAAGCATAACTAACCCCTTCACTTCACATTCACCCTTCAAGTCCCGAAACCGCGCATTCCTCGCCTCTGCTGGACCTGCCACAAAACAACGCTCCTGGGATTACCACTTCCCAGAGGGTGCCTAAGTTCAAGATCCAACCTACACCTCCATGACCATACCAGTGGGTCAAGTCCACCATGCGCTAACTGAATTGCCCTACACAAGTATCTACAGTAGGATAGTACAATTTCGGAATCCCGCATGTGTAAATTGCTCACCCAGAGTTAGCGAGATTCTTGCTCTCCTTCAAGCATTCTACCGTGTGATGAGTTCGTATTTAGGTGATATATAGGGCAGGGGGGGGGGGGTATGATGGAGTTTTTCGCAGGTGAAGCTGAGGGGTGGTGGCAGCGAGGTTGTTTTTCGTATGGTGGAATGTAGATTTATGGTTGCCCTCGCATTTAGACGTGTATGGCATTGCAGCTAAGGTAAGTCGGGGAGGGGCATTTGCTACTTGGTACTGTGCATTATTACCCCGCCATGCTTGAACTTGTGCTATTCGGGAAGATCTTACACAAAATGCTCAAGGATTTGCGATACAAATACGGATAGCTAACTTACCAGCAGAGTTTATGATAGTGGGCAGGTAGGTAGCCTTTCTAGTTAGGCTTATGGTAAAAGAAGGAGATTAGAGATATTTGTAAGACACAATTCTCAGGAATGGGTTCACACACAACAAAATCATCTTGAACTACTAGCGGCGAAGCTATTCCGGCATCCGTAGCTCGGCGGAAGGCAGGACTACCATAAGCAAGTCCATGCTTTTGTAAGTACCGAAAGATTGCCGGTATCCGAAGAGAAAGGGAGTGATCGAGTTAGCTTGCTAGCAACACAAAATACCATAAACCTGAAGGGAAAAAATTCACAGCCCAAGGCAGATATTTAGCAGTGCCCATATCGGGGGCCCCTTGGTTTGAACTATTATGGTAATGTACGAGTACAATACAGTGGGGTCCGTGTCAAGGCGACTGCGTAACCAGCACGAAGATCAGCCAAGAAAGAGCGAATCCAAGACAAAATCACCACTCGGCCATCCTGGGATCTACACAAAACAACTGGATCCAGGACTCACCACGGCGGAGCCTAGACAGCCAAGATTTCACACAACTCACCACAACAACAAAATTTACCTCACCTTACCTTTTCCAGTTGACAAGAAGTACCCCAAAATCGACACAACCAATCGGTATTCAAAAATGCGCATCGTAGATTCTCATACGGGATGTTTAAGTTTTACTAAAACCTAGTACGGGCCCAAAGCAGAGTCGATCGGACTCCAGCAGTGAAAATTTAATAAACTACTCCCTACAGGCACAAGACATATTTTCCAGTAGCCAACCAACGCTACATTCATCCCTTGTTGGATCAGATCTTGCCTTCGTATTTTGAATCCTGACATACACTTTAGTAAGGGTGTTGCGCTCGATCTATAGAAGGATATAGTTGACTCATGCTGTTTCCGGACGAAAAGCTTAGAACGCGATATATAAACGGTCCGGACAGGCGCATATGTGTGTCTTATCGGCATTACATACTTTCTCGCTAGCACTCGCTCACCCACCCACCCACTCACTCACTCATGCCACTCGCAGCTAACTTACCAAATACGAGTGTATTAGCCAACCCGTGATGGATTTACAGGAAAGAGCGCCTGCATTCACACACATAACGGCCTCGCCGAGTGATACGGTGCAACAAATGGAGTGGCACCGTACTGCAAACTCGCCTAATTTTCTAGAATAGGTAGTCCGGAAGGGAATACAAGGCCCCCCTCGCATTAGATTCTGCAGTCAACTAGAAGTTATGCATAGAAATAGAATGGAAAGGAACCACGGTGACTCCGGATGCGCTGTCTTCTTAGGAGGCCCTAACCCGGGAAGGATACTCAAGTTCGAGTTTCTGCTTCGGGGGAAGACATATATGCAGTAGAGATGGCACGTTCATCCAGTATTTGCTGTGACGGTGGTGAGATCGGAGAATTGCTGCTTACCGAAACGGTAAAGTTTGAATCGGAGGGGCCGAGATACGATCAGAAAGAGGGATGGCGTGAGTCTCTGTCTTTGTGCATTTAGGTCACCCCGTATTCGAGTGTGCTGCTATGCCAGCACGTTCCAGGGGGGTTCTGGACACTAGGGTGCTGCGATGGGATATAAATTTGTTATTTTCTTTACGGGAGCCAAAACAGCTCGATGCGTATCCCCGGCAGATTTTGGTCCCCCCGAGATGCGCTCCAGTTGGCTGATGGTGGTTGGAAATGTGGGTTGTTGGGAGGGCGAGATGGGTATGACACCTCTAGACTCGCAGGATACGTTATCACCAGAGGTACTGTGCTACTAGACCCATCATGGGTAAAACTCCTCCTCAGGTGACTTAAGGGATTTTCGTGGTTCAAGGAAAGGTGATATTGTGGTTATTGGAGCCACACGTGTTTGTGGGACCAGGAGGACGAAAAGAGCGGGGAGATGGACGAAACAAAGTTTAAATAACAAGAGCTCCTATAAAATCATCTCAAAGACAATCTTCCTTTATAGATACACAACTTGAATGCCCGCTAGTAGAGTTAGGTGAACTCACAACCGAACCCCTCAGACGGATCTCACCTGTAGGAGAACCCCAGCTCATGCTTATTAAATGCCAACCCATGTTTTCCACTTCCGCATTGTAATATCTAAAGTGGCAGTTTCTCAGGAACAAATTCCTATTCAGACGAGTCAACCATTAAACCAATCTGACTCAGAGCCAGTAAACAATAAAATCGAGACCGAGTGATATATTATGACAGGAGAATCTCCCTCTCTAGCACTTCAACCACAAATTGGTCTCCCGGCTATGGCGGTGATGGCCTACAGTAGAGACTTCTAACCCCAAATGATCTTTTCCACGATCCCTCTCAGACTCCAGCCCCACCAACCACCCCCTTGGGGAGGGAGCTGTTATGGTGAAAAAACTGGCTCAACGGCCGAGTCAAAATAAGACTTTGAACACCCAGTGACGGCATTCTACAGCTAGTTAGTGCCTTGCTACCCACACGCTGAGGGAAAAACTCACCCCCTTGTTCTAAACAACAACTCGGCACTGTCGGACAAGTGAT